GGTATACATTTTCCGATGCATGTACAGATACAGATGCGTACATATTCATATGCATACAACTACACATATATATATATATATGTGTATGTGAACAATTATATGTGCACTTTAAACTTTAACTTATACTCATGCATACATACATACATACATACATACATACATACATACATACATACACACATACATACATACATACATACATACATACATACATACACACACATACACTCATTCATACATACATACATACATACATACATACATACGTACGTACGTACGTACGTACGTACGTACGTACGTACATATATGTCTATGTGTGCATATACGTGCATTTTGTATGTGTATATATATATTGATATTTTCATTTGCATTTGTTTATGTCCATGTTTACATGCATGCATGCATGCTCACAGACGCACTGAGTTCGTACACCTCGGTCCGAGCAACACTAACTTTTTGGCCTTTCAGGACAAAATCCGTTTTCCAACACAAGGCAATGCCTTGCGACGTTCCGCGCCTTTAATGCTGTCAGGAGATCAGCCACGTTGGCTGTCCTCTCAATCCCTGGCTTGAACTCTTTCTGCCCTTGAGCCGTGCGGATGCACTTAACGTTTGAAGGACCGTCGCTCAACGAGCCTTTGACAGCCTTAGACAGAGATGCACAGCGTGTTTCTACTTGGGAAGCCCTCCTCGAACGTCTGGTCAAAGGCTCAAGAAGGGCTTTCGTGGCCAGCGGCCAGAACAAGACGGAGGTTGCCTTCTCACTTGAGCCCAGGAGGCCCGAACCGTGTCGATACAATCAGCTCCAAGCCTTTGAGGTCCTGGGTCTCTCTTGAAGGCAGCTGAAACACGGCCGTCTCTTCACTACATCTCTGTCTTCCAGGCCATTTTCGCGCGCTTTGCACTCTCGGCCCTTCGTTCTGCCCGAGCCGACTGAAGCTTCGGTGGATACTCTCGAATTCAAGAATTTTCCATCTCTGGGACTGAATGCTCTCCTGTCGACACTTCGGTGTTCAGCAAGCACTGTCGGGAGACGATGAGACGTTGAGAATTGTCTGCGTGTTTCATGCTTCAGACTTTGTAGTGTCCGACGTTGATAATCTCTCAGACTACTTCAACTGTTGGTTGGGTGCGAGGTCTGATTTGTAAGAAGGGCCCGTTGGATGCTTAGAAACGGCACCGGGGGTTCAACTTCCAGTAGCAGCTGCAATCTGCAGCAACCCTCCGCCTGTGCGACCTCTGCGAAAAGGGTGCGACGAGGGTCAAAGCCACGAATTGCCCGTACATCAGCGCTCGCTGTCGGCCTACTTCATGCTCCCCGGCTGGCCAACTCTTCTCACTCCAGCAGCGGTTTGCTGCATCTGACAGCTGAGAAATTCTAACGTACAGCTCATGTGAGTGACAAGGACCGATGCGCAGGGTTCATCGTTGAAACTAATTTGCTCAACTGATTGCATGAAGCCAGTTTCTGCAACGATCAACCAGCAACAAGCCCCTGGCTTGAGCCTGATGCCTTGTTGCATCTCGCTGACGCATGACTGTGGTGGAAGAGCCATCAGTTCGGAATGGTGCTTGGTGGACTTTCTGCGCAGGCCAGGCTGCAACATGTTGGATTGTTGGCTGTGTGGCTTCACCTGCAATTCATACATCCTGCAGAGCGTGCCGTGCCACTGTCATGACCTGCGCGGCTTGAACTTGTTCCAGCTATATTTGCTTCAACTCTTGACCATGGCCTGTCGAAGCGATGCTAAGGAGAGACTGTGCATGCGATGGTGATCGGAAGCATGCAAGAAACTGCAATGTGTGTAACCTGGCGCCAGGGAGCTTCACATGCTTCCTCACTGGACTCACCTACACCTTCGGGGTGTGGAGCCCTGCGGTGAAGACGGCTTACGGTTACTCGCAGGCGTGGCGCAACTGTGCCAGAAGAGTCACCAAGACTATCTAAGTGAAGTCTCGCACCCGCCTTGGCCTGCATTCTGGAAGCCGTTGAACCGCACAGGCTGAGCTGGACACGCTGGCGCTGGCAAAGGACTTCACAGAACTTCACTAGTTCACATTCAAGCAAGCGCAAAAGCTCCAGTGGCAGCTGCCTGACAGAGGACCTCGGCAACTTCATCTGCATGGCTCCTTGTTTGAGCAAGTGCTCTCTGGACGTTGACTCCATGCACACACCTTTAGGTCGAACTTCTTGCACAGTACAGCGCAAGGATGCAGGTCTCGTGACCAACCGCTATGGAGCGCACGTCTCGGTGGCGGGCGGCTCACTCGTCCTGACTCTGTCGTGCATTGCCATCTACCTTGCCATCGGCAGCCTGGCCGTACTAGCATTCCAACCTTTGCCCTGCCATCACGGCGCGGAGTCAGTGATTCTGTGCCTCGGCCCATGCTGGCAACATGATTCAGCCTCGTCTTGCATGCTGAGGCAGTGGAAGTGTGCCATTTCCTTTCATGTTGCCAGGCTGCACAAGCCGTACAAAGCACAAGCCGTTCAAGAGAGCGCTAGTGCGGGGGTGCTCTTCCACAGCCGGATGTTCGGATGCTGAGGATCATCCTCTTCGGCCTTTTCGGCCACAGCATGGGATACTGCGACAATGCGGGTATCTCGACCAGCGTCAAGAATTTCCCGGAGCACAAAGGCTGGGCTCAGTAAGGCCGCAAGCAAGTACCAACCGGCATCAGCTCGTCTTGTGGCACCGGCTCGCAGGCAGCGCGGTAGGCCTGATGAAGGCGATGGAAGGACCGCATGAGTGATGCCAGATTTCCTTTCATGTCATGCGTGGATGCCTAGACTTGGTCATTGGAGGACTGACTGCAGCCGTTGTCGGCACAGACGCATGGCTGGCACTGCAGACCGGGGGTACTGGTTGGAAAGCAGTCCATGTCAGATCCCGTTGTACTTTTCCGCATTATGGCCCTTGTGCATGAAGTGAAGCGCTTCAGCCCTGGATGTTGTAAGTGATGATTCGCGCTGGTCAGCGTCACAGGTCTTCTACAGCATCTCCTCGGACGAAGACCTTGAAGCCTTTCCCCTCTGCATGGCTTTCTTGGCCTTGGGCGTGGGGGTCTGCAGCGCACCTGCCATTGCCTTCACGAACAGCCTCGCCAAGGACCCCTGATCGGAACACCTGTCTTGTTTGCAGTAAAGTATGTTGTGCAGGCAAAGGCTCGCTTGGGGGAGGAAAGCACACCGGATGCACTATGACTATGATGCACTAGGAAGATGCCAACACAGTGTCCAAGAAGTTCTCTTGTTTGACCGTGGCGCTGCTGGCGTACACTGCCCTTTGTGCAGTGGTTGCGTATAACAAAGCGTATACGCTGCCGGTGGCTTTGGTTAAGGACTCAGTCATGCAGGTCTCCTCTGTCAAGCTTCAGCGCACAGACTTCTGCCTGGTGCCGCTGTGCTCGCTGGCCTCTTCCGAGGTTGTTGCCCTTCTGCCGTGTGGCCTCTTCCTTCTTGCTTGCCGCGGCCGCGATGCTGAGTCCACTGGCAATGCTGTGCCGCCCAGCCGGAGAACGAGTGCCGGTGTCTTCGGGGGACTCCCGTATCCTGTCTAGGCCCGAGTGTTGTCACACCGTCCTTGACTATTTGCATTAGGTCCAGCCAAAGCTTTGCTCGCAGCAGCTACGCGGAAAGATGCAACTGAGACGTGGGGAGCACGGGCAAAGCGATGAAAAATCCTGAAGAGATATACGGCAGCATGCCAGATTGTCAATGAGCCAACCACCGCCCATTGCAAAAGATCACATAAAGGGCGGAGATGCAAGCAGCAACCAGGCCGTAACGGAAGGTGCCCAGCGATGCCAGAGCTGCGGCCTCGCTAAACAAGGCGGCCGGAGAAGAGCCAGTTTCGTCCGAGGTGACACGTGAAAAGGGATGCGGTTGACGGTCAGGCTATGCCAGGCTGCCCAGTTAAGCAACCGTAAACGCTTGACTCACCTAGCCACGCAGACTCCTGGCCTGCCACCCCCAGTTGCGACGGCAGCAGAGCGCAGCAATTCAGAAAGTGTGAACGAGTGCGGCGTGCCGAATCTGTCCCGAAGAAAGCACAAGCACCTGCCACAAAAGTGAATGTCACACTCTCCATGAAGTCATTTGTACTGCTTGGTCTACTGCTGCTGCTGCTGGTGGTGCTGGTGGTGCTGCTGCTGCTGGTAGTAGTGGTGGTGGTGGCGGTGGTGTGTCAAGTGTGAAGCCCTGTTTACCACGAGAGTTTTTCCATTCGTAGGGGACCCGGGGGCGGTGGTCACGAAGACCCCCCCAGACAAGCCGGTGAAAACGTACCTGCACCGTATCGCGAGGGGCCAAGCCAAAAACCCCAAACATGTACCAAACTCTAGCTACTCCTTTCGGGGAGTGTCCAAGTGTGTGGGATGGGGTTGGGGTCGTGGTTATAGTTCATGGTCGCGTGCTATAAACCACTGTGAGAGTTGTAAAGATTCTGCAGCCATCCGGTGCTGGCCACTGCCCAGGACAAACATCGAACGACCAAATGTGTCCGCATGCAAGATGCTCCACTCCCTGGACTTCTACCTCCTGTTGCTGAACTGATTACAGTTGGTATGCTACTTCAGCGGATTGTTTCAGTGTAAGGCAGCTTGTTTTCGGCGCCCCTCCCGCGGATTTAGGGCTCCGGCTTCGACCTCTTGCTGCTCCTCTGAGCTTCTTCGTTTGTGGCTTCAAGCTCTACAGGGCCGAAAGAAGTTCAAAGCCGCGAGAAGCTAGGGATCGGTTTTTCGTCTGCGGGAATGTCGTGTCAGCACACTGAGCTCCAGGTCAGTGATGGAGTCACGCAATGCAACTGCCCGTAAACCTTGTCACAACATACTTCGAGTGCTATCTTTCAGTAGGGCAAGGTACGGTATGCCTGCTTCGGTCTTTTTCATCTATGGTCGGGTGCTTGCGAACCAGAATCTTTGAAGTCCCGCACCTTTTTCTGACTCAGGTACTTCACTTTCGTCTCGCTCCAGGGTTCGGGCATCATGTTTTCCAACAACTTTGGTCAGCCTCTGGGCAGAAAATTGGGGCCAGCGTTGCTGCATCAGACTCCCTCGTTTCCTGGGTATGAAAATGCTGAGGATCGTCAAATCTGTTTGTGGCAACCCGGCGGCCTCCAGCGGCATTTATGTGTCGAGCCTCAGGCGAATTATGGAAGTAAGTGATGTACCTGCTTAAATGAGCTCATAGTTCGTGGAGTCTTAGCCAGGAGCATCATGCCAGTGTGCCGCATGGAAGCTAGTTTCTTCAGCCTCGATGTGCCGCACCAGTCAGGATTTTCTCGATTTTCAACACCTTCGGGCGCGTCTTCATAGGGTTCGGCTCCGAGTCCTTGAGCCTTGGCTGTGAGACCTGCACCCAGCTTGGTAAACCCGGCCCTTGCCCCTTGCTCTTAAGTCTGTGTTGTGATCCTGTCCTTCGAATGTGAGTCGTTTTGGTAGCATCCCGGCTGAGCTCAGGAAAGGGACCTTGAACCGACCTTGGTTCCTCGTCGGCTCTTCTGCCCTTATGTCGCTGGGCCTGGCGGTTCTGGAGATGGGAGAGGACTTCGCGGTCATCCGAAGCCTGAGGTTCCAAGTCCATGCACCGCAAAGCGCTTCCGACACGCATGACTTCAGAGGATTTCCTGGGTTTCAGCGCTGGGGCCGTCGGCTTTGCTCTCGGCGGGACCTTTGCGCTGCAAGCGGCGCCTTGGGACTGAGACCGTGTCAATAGAGGACTCGCTACATATCGCATAAATATGTGTGTGATTGTGTGTGTGTGTACACCCTGATTCAAAGCTAGGGGATTTGGTGAGGACTTGTTGTCTGCTTGTACTTTCAGAAGCAGGGGGCTCCGGGAGCCTAACTGGGACGGACCAGAGCCAACGAAGACGCCCAGCTAGTGCTTGTGAAGTGAGCATGGACGCATCCTTGTGTACCTGCTTTTTACTGAATGGCATCAGGCTAAGCCGAGAACCTGTCCGACATGGAGCGCTGGTTCAGTTATGAATGTGAGTCATGTCAGGTTGAAGAACTCAGGACACCGTACTTAGGAAATTTCATCATCATCTTCAAGATCTTCATTGGAATTGGGTCAGAGTGAAGCGACATATGTCGATCAAAAAATATCCGTGCGTGTGTGTGTGTGTGTTTGTTTGCTTATGTATAAGTATGCTCAGGATCAGGATTCTTCTCATGCGATACACGGGTAGCAATGGTGCAGCTTGTGGTTGCGGACTCTGCAAGTCGGTGTTCAGGGGGAACCATGAAACCACGACTGGACTTCGGCTTCGTGTCAAGCTGGTTTCTCTGAGTGTGTTAAGATGGCTGGGACGGTAAGGAGGCCTTGAAGATGTTTATGTGGAGCAGCCTTTCAGCCGGTCACACCTCGAAGTCCAGGCTGAGCCCAAAGGTTGTGAACTGGACTGTAGTGCCCGAGGTGGTGACAGAGGAGATCTTCGGTCCAGAGGACCTGCAGATTGACTTGAGAACACAGCTCCAAAGACCAGGCACTGGGTACATATGCCTACGGACCCAGGTCCCTTGCGGCACCCCAGAAGATAGTCTTTTACATGAAGTTGAGACGAAAGACATATCAGGAGATGCCGGTGAAGTACAGCTACACTTTCACTGCAGCATCTGTGGGCTCCTTGCTGTTGAGTGACCTTCTTGCTGGCGTGCTCTACGATGAAGAAGCCCGTCGCCAAGGCGTGGATCCGGAGAGCCTGCATGATGGAGAGTTGCACCTCTGCTTTTTCGTGTCTTGTAGCTTTGATTCGAAGGTCAGCCGATCTGCCTTGGCGGCAGCTGCTTCGGCGTGCCTCTCCCAAAAGAAGTATGAGTGCTTTCTGCACTTCGCATCGTCATTGTATTTTTACGTCTGCTTCACATCATGTCTGTTTGGACTTGTTCTGATGTTGCCGAATACCTTTGAGTCCTTGAGGTCACGTTTGTAGTGACTTCGCTTTGCTGCGCGGTTGCAGCACTGTCCGTTGCGACTGTGGCCATCCGCTCGCGTGGAACGTAGCTTGGCCCCACTGGTGTCACTAGAGACCAGCTCGGAATCCTACTCTTGAGATCATCTCAGACGTCGAGGTATGCCCGGCTCCAACTGCGGCGACCTCTCCTTGCTGGCACGGAAGCTGCTCTTCTTTGAGGTCAGCTGGCGTGCGACACACCAGGGCCGGATTTTCTGTATCCTACTGTTAATCTGTGAGTTGTGAGTCAAGGCCCAGGCCCCCTCCCCCCAGCATCGCTCCGACCTGTTACCATCAGCAACCCTGGCATTCCCGAGGCTTGAGCTTTCGTCTTGTCGCGTGGACAAAAGATCTGGGTGTGCCATTTGGCAGATGGGTTAACAGAGCCTGCCAAAGTCTGGCTGCGCCACATGCATGGGTGAGAGTGCTGGACGAGCAGATACGTTGACAGTTTTTATCGATTTCAGCACGAACCGGCCAGAGTGTGCAGTGCATTGCCGTTCCTCCGGCAGCATTCGGGGAGGTACAACTCTTGGTTGGCTGCATCGCGTTCCTCAAACAGCTTAAGCTCTGAAGTAGACATGAGAAGATGGTCGACATGGGGTCTGACATGGCTGCCATGCTCAGCAACGTACAATGAAGTGCACTGCAGCAGTTCAAGCTACATGTGGAGACACTGAGGGGCATCCATCGACACACGCAGATTCAAATACCCACACCGCAAAAAGCATAGCATAGGCAGAGGCATAGGCGAGAGTCCACAGCGGATGACACGTTGGTGCGCAGAGTAAAGAGGCTCGTTCGGGAAAGTGCGCTGGGCAGAGTACAGTAGGATTAGGGATTCGTACATGCGACTTCACCAACGGTGTGGAATGAGGTGGGGTGCCCGATAGCAGTGCAGCAGCGTCTGGTCGTCTTGTTGGTGCAGACTTTACTGGGAGCGTTGAGTTAATAAAAGTCATTAAACTTGCCAGGCTGAAGCTACAACTGTCGAGTGTTGACGAGAGACACCCTGCGACGAAGAGAGGTAGTGGGAATGAAGTGCCTAGGACATTATGAGCTTGAACGAATGACAACGCCAGCCGATCACGGAGGAAACATGTCAACTCGACTTATTTCTGAATCTTGACGACCCGGGAAATGCTATTTTGCTGTGCACACGGTATGGCAAACCGGAGAGATCACGCCCTAACACCATATGGCCATACGTTCTACATGTGCCATGTGATACTTTCTTGTGCAGTCTGTGTTGTCGTCAGGCCTGTGCCATGTGCCAACTGGGCACACAGGCACATTGGGTGAGCTGTTGCTGGTGCCTTGGAGGATGAACAGCTTGGTCGAAGTGTCTTCGTCATACTTCATGTACGAGCGTGCTTAGACTTGGGGCATCTTCTTGGGGAGCAACTTTGCCACTGCACCAGAGTCTTAAAGGTCAGCTTCCGTTTGGCAGGGAGTTCTGTGATGGCAGTGGGTATTTTCAATCTGATGGGACTCGAGAGGCGCTTTGTGAATCTTCAACTCTGTTGCAGGCATGGCCCTTCTCTTCGAAACGCCAAAGAATTTTCGACCTCCCCAGAGTTTCGCTCGGGAGCGACGTCAGGCCGAGAGTCAAGCAGTGGTTGAGTCTGCCTTTCTGCCTTCAGGCAGTGCTGTGGGAACCGTCCCAGGAGCCTCTCCACGGCGGCCTGCTGAAATGTCTGACGGTGGAGCTGATCGCCGGACTCCCGGCGTCTATTGGACTCGGCTTGGGGGCATCTTAGTCATGTATGCCGCCAGACCACCTATCAGCAGTGCTGCAATGACTTTGTGTACAGCGACACCACGGCCCCTCGACGCGTTCTCACGAAGCTGTCCAAAGGCAGGGCTTCGCTGCGTGGATGCCTCTGCTGGAGCTTCTGGCTTCTGGCCTCGCGGCAAGGTGTGTACAATGGAAACTATGACAATGCCGAGCACGACTACATTTGCCGAGCCACCTGAATGCATGAGCTGAATTGAGTTCAAGAGCCTCCTTGGGTTGGGTGGGGTTTAGGGCATGGCTCAAACCTTCTGAGGTCGGCGATAAGATCGTGAACCCGGACGGCCATGCCTACGAAATCCTTGAGCGGCTGGGGCATGGCACCTTTGGCCAGGCCCGGACTCAAAAAGCGCCTTCCGAAGGTCGCACTTAGAAAAAAGGGGGAGGGGTCATGTTTTATGCATGGCGCAGGATGAGGGTGAGTTTACTTTAGTCTGTGTTGCGTGCGGTGCTTCTTGTTTCAGAACACATCATCCTGAGTCTTGAAGCTGTTGCAAGCACAGCAGAACAGCAGCAGCGAAGCATTGCATTTTTCCTAGAGGTAGCTCGCACTGGGAAAACGCTGCCCACGAGTGTGTATTGAACGTGAAATGAAGGTCTTGAAAATCCACCATTCGACTTCCAACAGTCACGTGGACCCTTCCTCAGCAATGTGTCTGTTTGGTGAGGTCGCATGGCTTTTGTTGGAGACGAGAGTTGCCGACCAAGGCTTTAAAGATCATCAAGAACAAACCTGCCTACTTCCATCAGGCCGTCGTCATGCATGGAGTAGTCGAATCTGAGTTTCACGCCTGCTTTCCAGAGGCCCCTTCGGCTCGCTTAAGTTAACATGCATCCACTAAGGTCTTGTGCTGTGAAGAGGCTGCTGTGAATTGGTGCAGCAGCATGCTGTTCCCTCCAGGCGCTGGTGGAGGTGCGCATTCTGCAAATGCTGAATCAGGACTTCTCAAGCCCATGAGCAGCAGATCTCGAGATAGCCACAAAAAGTCAAGGCCACAATTGTGCTATCTAGTCTAGCAAGCTTTGTTTTTATAGGAGTTTGACCCTGATGACGACAAGCGGCGGGGTGCTGAGATAGAAATTGATAGCCCTCCTTCGCTCTCATCTCGATTTGCAGCTGGACAGCCGGCAAGTCTCCCATCAGGATCGTCAGGATGCTGGATTTCTTCGTATACAGAAAGCATCTGTGCATTGCATTTGAACTACTCAGCAAGAGCCTCAGAACAAAAGCAATCCACCGCCTCTG